AAAAATAGATAAGAATTCTCTAATACTATAAAGTCGATTTTTTTAACGAAACATTATTTATTATTCTTATTTTAGGTCAAACATCATCACATAAAACTCGCGCTCCATCTCCTCCTGCTTTCAAAGATACAGTAACTACAACTCTTAAACCTGTACGATCAACAAAATCATTAGAAAATACAATAATATCAGAACCAATACAAAATCTTCATTCAAATAAATCTCAATATTCGACCGTTACATCAACTAAAAGTTTTGATTATTTAACGGGACCACGAAAATGTATATTGAAAGTAGATCGTGCTAAAGGTCTCGGTTTTGTATTATCAGCTACAGGAGATTATGATCATACAATCACGGGTGTAGAACCGGTAAGTAGATCAAACGTTCAATTTATAAGAAACATAAATATGACCAGTTTTTATTTATTAACACAGAATTCATCGGCTGATCTTGCTGGTCTTCAAGTATCAGATGCAGTATTAGAAATAGATGATACAGACGTGACAAATGTCAAATATGAAGAAGTAATATGTCATACAATCGTTGTTATACAAACATGATTTTAAACTTTAGAAAATGCTTTCGTGTAGGTTGTTGAAATGCTTGTACGTGCAATGAGAACAAAAGATCAAATTGAAATGAAAGTGATTGATAGCAGAAGTCGGGATTATTATACAGAACAACAACAAAATGGAACACAAGACAATAATATAGTATTAGGAACACTGAGCCCACCTACAGTAACAACTCAAACTGTTCAATCGACTCATTCGGCGCTTACCAACGATAATTTATCAGATGTTACAAGTTCAATTGGTGGTTTTGACACTATAAATCAACAAACAATTGCCACAAGTTTTCCAAATTTACCAGCACAATTACAACGTGCTGATCTTCATAGTCGAACTTTTTCAGGAAGTGTACCAAGTGTATTTACGGGTATTACAGCAAATACAAATGGAAATATTACGTCACAATTGACAGCATCAGAAAGTCAGTATTCTTTTTTTCTTACTCTTCTTTGACAAATTTTAAATTTTTTCTTTTTTTCTAGAAGGATCAACGGCTAAATTATCTGATATTTCGGTGCAAGAAGCACCCGTTGCACGTCTATGTCGTATAAGAAAATTTCCAACATCACCATTCTATGGATTTTTTCTGTGTGGTGATCCAAAAAAGTTAGGGTAAATATAATTTTGTTGAATAAAATAATGAAAAATAATAAATTTTTAATTTTTTTTTAATTTTTAACAGACGTGTATTCATATCTGATGTAACAAAAAACTCTCCAGCTGCCGTTTGTGGTCTACGTGATGGTGACCGAATTATTGAAATAAATGGTCAAACAACTGAGAATTTAAAATATGAAGATATTTTAGAAATTATTAAACAACATACGTCCGAAGATGATCTTCAATTCCTTCTTTTAGATAAAAAATCTTTACATTGGTATCGAGAAAAAAATTATCCTGTTAGTTCGAGAACATTGCCAACAATAATTCATATTGAACCAATTATTAATGAAGTACCACAAAGTGTAAAACCAACACCCGTTCCCGCTACATATACAAAAGTTGTCGGATTCACAGGTTTGTATAAAATATTATATTTGTTTTCAAAATAATTTAAACAAATTTATTTACGCAATTTAGATCGACGAATGTCAAAAACAGGACTCTAATATGAATATTATATTTATATTTCAACAGTGACAGTTTTATTTAATAAAATTTATTTGTGACAGTATGAATAGTCTTTTTTGTTACTGTTTCAATTCGTTTAAAAATTTTTTTGTTTCTTCCATCAGAGTTTTGTCAACTTGCCTTATATTTTTGGCGTCATACTTTTATATATATCCTGTACGTATTACAAGTCACAAATATCTGTCAATCAGGTATTTTCTATATATATATATTATTCTAATTTATACAGGTAATATTTAACTACTTCATTGTATAATTGATGCATGTGTTGAATTTTTTTTTCTTCTTTTGTTGTTACACTTTGTTGATGTTTTTCTCAATAGTACGTTACAAGCAAATTTGAAACAGTTCAGTTAGATAAGTTAAGAACATTTTCACAAGACTATAAAATATATCCAATAAGTACCAACCTTTCTATTTAAAATAAATAAATTTTACTTAAAATGTTAAATATAGGTTAACTTAATTTTTAGTTATTTTTATGCGCTTTTAGAATATTTCATTTCAATAATTTTTAATTCAATTATTTTATTAGTAGACTCAGATTTTCATGTTCACGAATTTGTGTAACTGTTATTATCTGTTTTTGTTACTGTTGCATTTTTTCTTTCATGTTGTTCTTTTTTTTTGTGTCTTCTCAGAAACAGAAAGAAATTCGTTCTGTTTATTTCTTTTTTCATATATGTAGTAAAATTGTTCACAAAATAAATGATAAAAGTTACACAGATAGTTCAACATACGACGGAAACACTAGTTGAGATAATATTTTACTACGACATTTTTCAGTAATTTCGGATCATTTTATACATTAAACGATGAGAATGTAAAATCTAATAATTATCTTCACTTTAGCTAATGGTGTACAAAAAAACTATATAGAGAACATATTAATTGCTTGATTAAAAAGAAAAAGTATTATCCGATTTATGAATAATATTTAACAACAATGTGAAATGTGATTTATTCTGACTTTTTGAAAACTTTTATTTTCATTTTCAAGGCATATGAGATAAAATAGTGTGAAAATAAATTATATTATGAAAAACAGCAGTAACATCATCTATTCTTATATATATATATATATCTATATACATCCCAAGCGTCAAAAAAAAATCTAGTATCACCCGATTCATCTAGATTACTAGATTTTTACCGATTTTTATCGATTGCAACTATTGTGCAGCGACAGTGGAAATCTAGTAATTGGGCGATTACTAGATTTTTTTCTACATGATAATCGATCGATTTAACTATTGCTAGATGCACCTGCAGACGCATCTAGTTAAAAGTCCCTTTTCCAACTAGTAATCTAGATGGCAACTAGTCGTGTATCGCCCGATTATAGACGAAATGTATCTAGATTTTTCCCATAGGTGATATTTGCTTGGGATGTTCAAAGTGACATAAAAGAAGAAGAAAGAGAAAAACGGTAAGTTCTCGGTCTGTCCACGTAACAGTAGATTTTTTTGACGATATTGAAGATTGTTTTTAAGTAAAATAAAGGCCACCACTTTGTAGAGCATCTTCGATTATATGTGAAAATATGTTTTCTTTACTTCCTTAGGTGCCATATTTCTCTGGAAATTTCGGTTTTTAAAAAGATGTCAGTCAAAAACAGAAACGTGACGCCGATAACGACTATTTTCTTTTCGTCTTTTCTTTGTCAAAACAAATCTGTTTTTTAATTCGAGCATATCATCTAAAAGCCCGTCGAACAGACTCAGCATCTATGAAAAAATAAAAAGTTTACATCCCTAACTGACTAACTTATTTCCTTTCGCAACGGACATACTCGCGTAAGCATGATTCCGTGGCGAAATACCAGTATAGTTCAGTTTTGATCGACAAGTACCCACCTTTGGAATTCGAAAAATATATCACTAAATCCAGTTTTTGACGCTCTTTCAAATGTACTAATCAGTTTTGTCGTAAATGTTTAGGGTGGGTCTATAGAAGCGTCACGGAATCACCAACAAATGATGAGGTTTTTTTAAGTTACTGAAATGTGAATCACCATTTCCTCTCATTTTTTTGTGATGACACAGCCTTTGATATGCGCAGAAGTGGTTTTAAAGCCTAGTGCAACCTCAAGGTCATATTGTTGTGTGCATTTCTGCTCTTTTTTAGATTATCTAAGATATCGGTGTCCTTAGAAACCATTCTGATTTGTTCTGCTCTAACTCCATTCGGTCTGATTTCAATGCTCTTGTCTTGCAAATACGAATGTACCCTGTCCTAATGGCGAACGTACGCTGTTCCTCTGAACAAGAATTTGTCTCTATAGCTCAATGAAAAACAAAAGAAATCACTGTCGCTCTCGTCAGACAGGTTCAGTTTGATAAAACAAGAACAGTACTTGAAAAAATTTTCGAAAATACAGTTAGTTTTACAATAATTCAACGATAGCACCATGTCAAAGCATTACATAAAAATGTCATTGAGTTTGTTTGGTATGCGACGAAAGAACCGAAATATGTTTTTCGATTTTGATCTTTAAGCTGACTGTATGAACAAAAGATGTGTTTTTCGTGAAGTGTGTTTAAAAGTGCCATTTATCATCATCTTTTATTAGAAGGAGCAGTTTCTGTGTTTATAGTCACTTTTTGTAATAATAGAAAGAAAGAAAAGGAAAGAAAAAATGTCATCATTTTTCAAAACGTGATTCCGTGCCGACAATTTTCTCCATACATACAATTGGGTTTCAATTTTTTTCGAATCTTCTTTTTTTTAGTCAATAGCTCGTTATCCGAGCTACAACTTTCCTGTGCAAAGCTTCTCTTCTCGGTCCTTAGTTGCGCTGAATTTTGCATTTCTTTGCTTACCGCCCTAAGTCATATTTCATTTTGAGTGATTCCGTGACGCACCTATATTTGAGCCACAGAATTTGAACACAACGTCCAAATCAGATGAAAATTTTAGGAGACGCAGAACGCTATGTTAGTACAAAATTTGCTCAACAATAGTAGTCATAACTAACCTCAACCATAGTCAGTTTGGATGTTTCAATTCCGAGTAAGGCAGTTGACGCTAGATGGGCTGTTTTAAGAAAACCGTTTGATGTAACATGAAGAGAATTGTACGAGGTTTATGAAAAATTGAACTTGTTCGTGAGCTGATTGTTAATTAAGGTTCTAATTAAATGTTTCTTATAATTTTAGTGAACGAAAGACCGTTCAAAAACAGCAGTATTCATATTCTCTACAGGAAACGATGAAAATACACTTTTTTTATCCGGTTTTTACATATATG